CATGAATAACAATATAACAAAAGTCCTATATATGATCTAGCGCTATAATGCTTCTGCATTGCACAAGCACAGTGAGGAGGTACAAACAAAATTGATCTACCTCATATTTGTAAAATGTTTTACTGTTTATCAAGTGTTTTTCATTCTCAATATCAACTGGTATGAACATTTTAATCTTGACATTATTTTTCACCATATCCCCCAGCCCTAATTTAGAGCTTATCATGTAATGAACACATGCCAGTTAACACTGTAATATCCTGATCCATATTAAAAGGTCAAAAGGTTTTACTACCCTGCCTTTTCCAATTATAGAATCTGATGCCAACCTCAGACATACTACACAAACTTTCATTTTTCTTGCAGTAAAAGCTTCACTGACAGCAATCAGGTGTAAACCAATTCAACACTCTATAGACACAGTGGCTGGTGAGAACTTGTACATAAAACATGCTTCCATGCAAATTATGGTTGCTACTTGTCTGATTGCATGCATGCATGTGAATTAGGTGAGAGCACCTTGTCTAATCTTGTGGTATCAGGCGAGCCACGATCAAATGATGCTGGGCCAATCTAGTTAAGCCATGATGTTAAACAGACATCTCATGTGTTTTCTCCGCCGAGGTAACTGTGGCCAACACTCATCTTATTTCTACTGATTTCTCTCGTCCATCCTCTGCCTGTATAACAATGTTTTTATGAGCTTTAATGTTTATTAAGGGTTCCTGTTTATCACAAATTAAGCATTTAAAGGTTCAGTGTGTAGAATTTAGTGACATCTAGAGATGAAGTTGCATGTTGCAGCTGAATACTCCTCATCTCACCCACCCCTTAAAGAAAACAACAATTCATACAATTTAGATGATTACACACCAGTGACACATCGCTAGCATTATCTTATATTCAATTTCTGCCCAAAAAATCATTTTCATCTATATATCCTACACACTGGACCTTTAAAACACTTCTCAGAAATATAACCAGTTTCCAACAGAGAAAAAGTAAAAAAAAGAGTGAAAACAGTGAGAAGAGAGTGAGTAAACAAAATTCAAACCATCACAACCCCACACACACGCACACGCACACACACACACACACACACACACACAGTTGAGTTTTCCACACCCTGGCCTCAGCAGGGAAGGGTAAAAAACAAAAATCCAATGAACTCCAGAGAAAACCACTTCCTCCGCTTCTTAGTGTGTGTGTGTGTGTGTGTGTGTGTGTGTGTGTGTGTGTGTGTGTGTGTGTATTTGTGTGTGTGCCTGTGTATGAGTGAGCATGCTTGCATGCCTGCCTGTCTACCCGCAGTGCACATGGTGAGCATTCAAAGCCCAATTCAATAGGAACCTCACAGTGAGCTCAGTATGGGCAGAGATGAGAGACTGAGTTCACAGCTGAATTACACTGAGCAGAAACATATGGAGCAAAGGAAAGGACGGGACGGCAAAGCAAAAGACAGGAGAAAAAAGAGGAGTAAATGAAATACCATAGTTGTCTATGCCTTTTTTAACTTCCTATTCCTTTCATCTGGCTCATGTTTCTCTCCATCCACATTAAAATATTCATCTGTTTTTTTCAGCTAGAAAGACCCAGACTGCAAATACTTGTCGTCTAATTCACCATCCTCTGCACGCTTAATATCATTAGTGCAGCAGACATCAGAATCAAAATGACTGAACTGAGCATTTAGCTAATGTTGCAGATTATCTTGGACTGAAAGCCTGAGTATATCTGGGGACCGGTTCAAATATTTACGTAAGTATGTTTAGTATGTAAATCCATGTGCAGGCCAACAGAGTTTGGGGACAACTTGTGATTTTGTGTCGTCTACTAAAAATCCATCCAGATTGTAAGCCACAAAAGTGCTGCAGCTTTAGTTTGATCGCATGTGCAAAGCTAATCCAGTTTTTGTTATGATAATGTAAACTGGCGACACTTCAAATTAATGTGGATATATTGTGATTAATACATTTAAGCCCCTTTTCAAAAGGTCAAAAAACTAACAAACACCCACTAACATCTGGAGTTTGTCTGCAAGGGAAGTGGATACGATCAATATTCACCCCAGGACAAATGACACCGTAGTAGACACCGGTTTTCATCAGCTACAGTTGTGATCGGATGGATTCATGAGATCTAGGTGAAGGCGCTAATTTCTTCTTCTTCTTTATTTTAGCAGTCTAGAAACTAACCCTGCACAATGTCATGAAATGTATTGAACTTGATTCGGGTGCAAAAGTGATCTGTTTTTCTCCATATCATGCAAAAATGCAATACACAAAACACTGGCAAGACAGCAAGGTCAGTTAGCTTTTCAGTTTCCGGGATGTTGGTGATGTCGACCATGACTCATAGGAAAAAAAACTGAAAGGCAACCTACTCGGCAATAGGAAAGTATTTTTACTCGCGTTTAAATAGCCTGCATATACCCGCTAATTTGGGGGTAAAAAAGGTATGTGTGTGTGTGTGAGATTAAAATAAATGTTCCTGTATTTAGATGCAGGATCTGTCTCGACCCCTGTGTGGCACTATGTGACATGAGCAGAACAGATGAGTGCTGACAGAGAGGTTAAGGGAGAGACTTGAGATGCAGAGACATCCCTGAGCAATGAAGTTTGACCTACTACAAGTGCATGGATTCTGTTGGTGCCTTTACAAAACATTAACCTACATTATTAGTTGGATCCACTGATGGTCACCCACTTCTCCTACATATTCTCAGCCATATCTATCCATCAGTTACTGCAAAAAGCTGGACATCAAGCATAACTGCTGTTTTATCAGCAGTGGTTTGATTTATAGTCTAGTCTAAATCTGCAGCTATAGTAACGTCCACCGCAGCTTTTGTTTTGGTCAAAGATTCCATTTTAACAGTGCAATCACTACTCTACAACATTGCTCAGCCTATCTGACTGCAAGTAACCATAGAAACATCTACTTGGGCACCAAGAGATCACACACCTCTGCCAAGATAACGTCCTATCTCGCCATGTTAAAGAAAGTAAAAAAAGATATCCTGAATCTGCCCATTTATCCCTATCCTGTAGTTAGTTAATTAATTTGGTGACTTGGTTAGCGAAAGCCAACTCTCTGGTGATCTACAGCTCACTTCCTCCATTGTTTTCTATATCTGAATAACACGTCATACATTATTGCTTACAATTTGTAACCCACATAGAAAAGATTGCCTCTCTGAGTAAAACAAGTGTAAATCTCCCAAAAGACAAATCACTCTCAAAACACATTGAAAAACAAGCCAAGCATAGATTAAAAACAGGAAACATCCAGTTGAGGTTCTGTCAAGTCCTTTGAAAGGAAGCAATAAAGGAGCTAAATCCAGTCCATCCCAAGGAGGAAAGAGATCATGACAATATGCATGAACATGTGTAGCTGTTACATGGAAATGGAAAATGCATCCAATACAAATATTGAATACTAATAAATACTTTTCACTATGGGAAGAATATTGTCAAAAAAACATGTTTGTATATTTGAATGTTTGGTCAGCCTTCCTGCAAGTAGGTATTCATCCAGCAATGGAGGCACACACACACACACACACACACACACACACACACACACACACACACACACACACACACACACACACACACGTCCTTCATTCAGACATTAATGAAGACAAATAGCAAATGGTCTGTTGTGGCCAGCAGAACACTCCCTGCCTAAAATGTGCCAGATCAGCTAATAAACAACGATGAAAGATGCATTAGTCTTTACTTTGCACACCTGCAATTTCATGTTACACTGCAACATTAAAGCCTCAGGTAATTTGCTAAATTGACACTTAATTCAACAGCAAGTTAATTTTGTTTCAGAGTAATTGAAAATGAACAATGAACAATCAGCCATAAATGGCCACTACAACCTGATTACCCCTGAAGCTCGTGAGTTTCTGGATTATTAAAAAGAGAATATGGAAAGACGCCACTGCAGCAGCCCTATTTTTTTGTGATTCAGCCTCAGGGATAAGGTTCACTGACGTTTTGGGCAAAAGGCTGGTGCACAAGATTTGGCTGGCACATGCTAAAATCATTTCCCATTAACACCCACTCAGATTCTGGCACATGTTGATAATAGGCATGGCTGTAAATTGAAAAAACTTCATCCCTGGATGACCCAATTGGAAAACATCAGGTCAAAACTGTGTCAAACACATGGGGGCTCACAGAGTTAAATGGAATGCTGTTGACTAATGTTTTGTCGAGAAGTCACAATAATTTGCTGCATGTGTCTCACGTCCTCTTTCTACACACTAATGCTCGCATGAGAACATATTTTTTTAAATGTTATGCATCCATTCACGTGCACCTCCTGCCAGCTTATCGGGCACAGATTACACCAATCCTTTCAATGTAAATCAATCTTTTTTTATGGAAAAGCTCCAGACACTTTCAATGCATTTTGGGTCCAAGAGAGATTAACCTTCATATTCTATGGCCAGAGAACCAGGCCCACGTTCATTTCGGTTTAATCTATGTGCATAACCTAATATGGGCCGATTTACAGCCCCACATGTGCCCCAAAACAAGTCACCCTTGAGAGTGACTCAGTGCATTTTTAGTATGCATGTCCTTGGGGTATTAAGGATGTGAAACCACAAGGTCATAGTTGCTCCTCTGCCACAGGGGAGCTTAAGTCCAATGGGATTCAACCCAGTTGAGCTTTGATGGAACATAACATTTTACTTTAAGTCGGCATGGTACATGGTGTTCTTGATGTTTCAGCTCTCTATCCTCACACATACACACACAAACACAGTATCTTATCTATGGGAGTGTTTTGTGTCTGCTCCAGAAGTTTTCCTTCTTGCCAAAGACACAGTTCATGGAGCTCTGAAGCTTCCGAAAACACAAGCGTCATTGGTTTCCCACTTTCTGTTTGATGTTGCACATATTAGATCAAGTGCATTGACTGACGTGACTGGTAAGACAGCCAGATCAGATACTGGGCAATAAACAGATCATGTGTCCTCTTACCTGAGGTTGGACCTGGGCCATCCAGCTTGGATTCACATTTTGGAAGAGAGCAATCTAAGAAGAGGCAGAGAGATACAACTTTAGAGAAAGGACACAAAGAGTGATACCTCAACCCTAGCCATGTTTTAGTGTCAGAAATCAGAGCTTTGTGTCTGCAAGGGATAAATGAGAGAGTGAGCGGGAGGTTGTGGAGCAGCTCTTTGATCAGTGTCTGAATGGTCCCTCACTGAGATTAAGCACCATTAGACATGCTGCACGCAGATGCATGTGTAGATGCACATACTATTTAGCGGATAGAGAATTTTTATAAATTCAACTTCAGAATCAAAATGTTAGTTATTGTGAAGATCTTAACTATAGATTCACATTTCTTTGTGCTTTCTTCTTTCCCATATATCCTTACACTCACAAACACATTCCCTCCCACACACACACGAACAGGCTCATGCATGACTGTCAGTGCACCGGCTGATAAAGTCAATGAATCATTTAGATGCAGACTACGGTAGATGTATGTATCTTTTAATGCCTGGGGAATTTTCTTGAAGGGGAGATGTAATGTTGAGTATTCAGGCAGACTTGTTAAAAAGCAGAGCTGTGTGTCTGCCGCTTGCTATTCGAAGCTTGTTACGCTGGAGCGCAGACAACGCTGGCCTGAAGAGCAGTGCTGGACTCAGTGACGTCATTGGGATTGATTGATTCATTATGGGCATAAGGTCAAATCACTGCATTTATTTTTTTTCCTCCCTTCAAGTAAAAACCTGATGTGGGAAGTGTTCCATGCCGACTCTACTTAATTCTTTTTTTGGACTGACAAGCGTCATGTATTTGACAAACTGTCTTTCTGGGTCACTCAGTGGGACACTATAAAGTGGCACGAGATAACAGAGAGGAGAGACGGGGGTAAAGGGACAGGGGCAGCTTAGCTCTTCTTCGCTCTGACTTCTCCTGGCTGCCTCTCTGAAAAGAACAGCCTGGCATATGCTCCTGCCTTGCGAGGATTACAGTAAGCACCTGTTCAAACACTGAATGCTTCATTTTATGTAGTGTAGTGTGGATGAGGTGTTTGGTCCAGTAGTGGGGAGTGATTGACCTCTTAGAGAATTTCAGATCCTTCAGATGTGTTGCCATTCATGTTTTGTTTCCAAATGCAGTTTAAATCTTAGAACGTGAAAGCAGGTACACCTTTTGCAATTGTGAATGTTCATCATTCTCAGTGTTAAGTCATCTTATCAGAATGATGCACAAGGACTAGATACTGTCTTGGGGGAAGTCATGGTCAGCATATGCTACCAGGCAGGCATTAGTTGGCAACATGGTTATATGAACAGTGAAGGAGAAAAGGGAGAAGTAATCTTCTACCAAATAGGGCGAAAGTAAGAAACCACCAGTCAAAGATAAGTGACAGAGTTTTCAGTTTTAATCAGGAACAAGCTGTGAGGAAACTGAAAAGAGACTAAAAACCTCCTCATCTAAAATCCATCTGTCTTTAGAGGATAAATAACTCAGATCTTATTCAAACTATTGATAAAAACTTGAGAATTGTTCCTGGAGCTTCAGTCAACATGAGGCATCTAATATTGCTCAATGGAAAACACCATAATCCTAATAGAGCGAGAATGAGTCAGAAGGGGGTAAAAAAATAGAGTGCATATGTTCACCGAGGCTAATGCCCTATCCCGCCATGTCCAAAAAAAGAATTCAGATCGGCACCAAAATTTAATGGGTTTTTCCTCAGGGTATGTCACTATCCTCTACAAACTTTTAATGGAAATTGGTTCCGTAGCTTTTGCATAATCCTGTTGAATGACAAACAAATAAGGTCCAACAGTCCCCTAATGAAACTACATCTAAATTAGTTAGCTCTGGATCTGAACCAAATTGCACAAACTCAAAAACATCAGTACTCTTTTTCTTAATCAAGATCCATGAATTATTCTGTGAAAATTCTTGAAACAAATACCTGATCCGAATTTGCACCAAAATGCATTCTTCCTTGGATTATGCCCCACCACTACATAACTTATTTGGAAATCAAGTAGTTTTTTGCATGATTCAGCTAACAAACAAAACAAATCGGTTTTAATGTTTTAATGATGTATACTTTTAATGACTTTTTTTTAATGTTTTTCTTTTTAATGTTTCTCCTTTTAAATGTTTCACTTTTTTGCTTTTATCTATGTACGGTGTCCTTGAGTGACAAAGGCGCCTTTGAAATAAAATGTATTATTATCATTATTATTATTATTAAACTAACAAACAAATCCAGACAAAACCATAGCCTCCTTGGCAGAGCAAAGGCCTGTTTCTATTAAAAAAGTGAAATGGTGCCCTTAATTGTTTCAAAGTTTCGTCTTACAGTAGTGAAGTGTGAAACATCAAATTCCTTTGATTTTCTTTGATGTGACATTCAGTATTTTAACTGCAATAAGCTTCAGCTTGAATTGTGTGTGAATCATTTACCAAAACAATAAACAGCAGTTACCACAGTTACAACATTGCAACAAAAATCTGCTGCTTTTCTTCTAAACCGGGACCAATTTGAAAGTAGGTACATCTGCGAGCCAATACAGTAGGATGGGGATGTTGAGCTTGATCCTCAACCTATTTTATCCAAAGCCAGAGAGGCCAAGCGGCAGTTTAGCCTTCCTAAGCCAGAGGAGCACTGGGCTGGCACTGTTCACGCGACAGCGATCACAGCCTGCTGCCGTCTTCAAAGCAAGACGGAATGTTAGCGAGTGTGTGTTTTTGTGGGAGAAATAGACTGCACAGTCCCTTTTGGACAGACTGCGTGCAGCTGTTGACAGAAGACAAGCACTATTGGCGGCACGCACAAGATCACACATGTATGCAAACACACACACACTGCAGGCTGTGCTTTGATTTTACCCATGCTGAGTTCATGTTCTGCTTTATTAAAACTTTTTGCTTTTGTACTGCTGAAATAAGACCTTAACTTATCTGCTAAAAAAAGTAACACATGCCATTATGTGCAGAAAGCACACTGAAGTGCACAAGTCTGGTTTCTAAAGATGCATGTATGTATTTGGACATGTGCAACAGTGTGGGAAAATAAAATTGAAAGTTACTGCAACAATTCTATCCCACATTTTAATTGCAAATATGAAACTAATGCACAACTGAGAATGAAGTTGTCTGATCCTTGTTATGCACTCTATACAAGAACAGAAACTGGCTTGCTAATCAATATTATGAATGAAAAAACATGACACACATCCTGACACTTGACACACTGCACCAACGTCTCAAGGGGGAAGCTCTTAAAAAGCAGTATGTCTCAGAACTCAAGAGGGGGGCATGGCCTCACAAGTCTGTGGCTGCTTTTTCAAAGCGCTACTCATGAAAAAATGAAAAAAGAGGCCCAACACATTGTGGGAGGCTTGTGACTTCAAATCTCAGATCCAGATGCTTCCTTGGTTTAAGATGTCAATCTGGGGGAAGTCGGGGAGGACTGAAGCATCTGCTCCGGGAGCAGAAAGAGAGCGGTGAGAGGTCAAGGAGGAAAGAAATAGGAATGTAGAGGAATTAAATTAATATGTATTTATTTGGTGGTCTCCAAACGTTAGAAACCTCATAATGATCATAATCAAAGTGAAAATAATAACTGTGGTCAATGGCATTTACTGCCACCTGCCTTATTTACTGGAACAGTATGATGATGATACAGTACTATAAAAATGCTTATGCCTTATTAACTACAGCCATAAAACATGTTATTGTTTGTCTGTAGGCTCCGACTTAATCACTCCCCCCGATATGATTACGAATATATGATGGGAATGATGAGCAAATACGTGTAACCCCCCCGTCGGAGTCTACAGGTGGATGCTGGGGTGGTGGAGGGGCTGAAGCAACTGGCAGAAATACTGACGCAGCAGCAGGGAAAAGCAAAGGGGGTGATGGGAAGTTTTGCTTAAATTGACCACCTATAATACATGGTGGGTAAAAAATACCAGCATTGGAAATGCTGTCAATACCTCCAAAAAGGCTGTGCGAGTATAGAAATCTATGCGATTCGACACCACGTAGTTAGTTTCACCCAGATAAACCTGCTATTTTCACTTTCTCTTTGCCGCTCCAAAGCAGCAATTGCACTGTACTCCCAGTGGGGAGTACTGGTTTTAGGGCGGTGAAGAAGTGATTTGCAGTAGTGTAACGTTAGCCGGAGCTATCTTAAATATAATATATAATTTGGCAATATTTCACATGAGGTTTCCTTTTTGAGGAGAGGCCCTACTATTACCAATTACAACATACAACAGAATGATAGCAACAATCACTTTCATACAGGTTTAGTAGCATACAGTTTTTAAAATTCATTATGTAAGTTCATATTTTTCAAAAGCACTGGTTAGATCGGTACTAGGTATCTCGCTATATGCAAAGCAAAGGTATCATAATCGGTATCAGGAAGGGGAAAATTATAATGGAACATCTCTAGGTAGAAGAGAAGGAAGGTATGCATTGTGGTGGCTTACTGGGAGACCTTTACATGAATATATGACAACCCTGAGCGGAGGCAAGGTATGAGGTATTGATGGAGGGCCGTGTGGGAGAGGAGTGGAGGAGGTGATGAAAGGAATGATAGAACGAGTGGGAGTCTGCAGTTGACTGATAGAAGTTTCTCTCTTATCAGATGAGGGATTTGTAGGAGACACATGGACCAGCCCACAGCCTATTTTTATGACCCACAATCCTTCCGTGTCTTCATCCCTTGCTCATTCGCCCCTCATCTCTCCATCCCCCTATTTCTTGCTTCCATGGCCTCAAGCAATGTGGGTGGGATGCACTGATTTATACCTCTGTGCATGTGTGCATTTCGTGTGTGTATATGTGCATGTGTGAGGTAATGAAGCTGTCCCACAGGCCATATCCGACAAACACATTACCAACCTATTTGAAATTCCTGATAATCGACCAGGCTACCAACCAATATCTTTCATGTACATGGAGGCCTATTCGACTGATTATAACCATGATGACTGGATGTATACATATCAAACTAACCAATGTAGTTTTAGAGCCCAAACTCC